TGTATGAATTATTCTAATGATAAATATTTAAGAAATGATAAAACATATCAATCAAATAAAGAAATAAATGGAAATATTTACAATGAAATAAACAAATAAATAAAAGAAAAATTCATTTATTTTATTTAATTCATCATTATTTCATTTGGTTTTATTATTATCACTACTTTTAATAAATGAAATAGAAAATACAAATATTATTTCAAAAAATGAAAATAATTACAAAAAATATCATTTAATAAAACTAATCAACAAATGATTTAATCCATTTCTTATTTCTTGTTATTTCTTTATTCTTGAATTATATCCATTTATTTGATTCTCATTTATATTTACTCTTATTGTTTATTTTCTTTCATCTATCCCAATTCGTTCTTTCCATTCTTTAATAAAACTTTTTGCGTCAAAATTTACTTCTGCCCATTCTGGTATTTCGGCAATCCAATCATGTGAATTAAATGAATATTTCCATGCATGTAACCAAATTTGTTCTTCTATAGGATCACCTTTAGGGAAATTACAATCTTTACAATCTTTATCAAAAACCCATCCATACTTTGCTCTCCATTTATTTTCACGATTAATTTCTCCATCTTGTTGTCTGTAATTATGGATTTGATTTAATAAATAAGCAGAGTCATTTGCAATTGGATGATGAATTGCTTTGAGATGAAGTCTTAATTGATGTGTTCTTCCTGTATGAGGCACACATTCAATAACACTTGTATTACTGTCTTTATCGAAAAAAAGTCTTTTGAAACTACTTCTAGCTTCAATACCATCTTCACAAATACAACTTTGGGATTCTGTCCCAAAACGAACCAAATGTAAAGGAAGATTCACTTCAATCGTGTCTGGAAAATATCCAACTACTCTAGCTAAATAAATCTTTTGAAGTGAGGAAGTAGATGAAATAACAGATGACTTTTCTTTTAAAATTGATTGAAAGGAAGAAGCAAATGTTTTAGTTTTTGCAAAGAGAAGAATGCCACTTGTATTTTTGTCTAAACGATAAACAGGTTTTAAATGAGAAAAGTGATATTCATTAAGAAGGATATTAATGATGCAATTTTGGTTATATCTTCCAGTTGGATGAACAGGAATTCCAGATGGTTTATTAATAACAAGATACTCATTTGTATTTTCTATTA